CCATGCCCTTCCTTCCCATTCTCCTCCTGTTCCATTCCCATCCCATCTCCTTCTCATTCATCTCCTATCCTGATCCCCAAGCCCTTCCCATCCTATCTCTGATCCATCCCACCTCACCCCATCACCATTCCTATCTCACTCCCAATTCCTTCCCGTTCTATCCCTATCTTTATCCTATCCCACTCCATCCCATCCTACCATCCCTTCTCATTCCCATTCCATTTCTGCCCATCTCCATCCTCAGTTCCTTCCCATCTTATTCCCATCCCACCACCATTCCTATTCCCATCCCATCCACATTCCCATCCCACCACCATTCCTATTCCCATCCCATCCACATTCTCATCCATCCCACCACCATTCCTGTTCCCATTCCCAGCAGGCTCAGCCCCATCAGGATGGAGCTGTCTGGGTGTCAGCTGCCCCACTGCTGGCTGGGCATTGCTGTTCCTTGTCAGGGCTAATTAAAACCTCTGTCCAGCCCAGCCCCAGCCCACTGGGACCCCCTGCCCGCCTGTCACCTCTGCAATGTCCTCGGGGGTCTGGCCCAGGCTGGTGAAGACATCCCTGGAGTTCCTCAGGTAGAGCTTGGTGAAGATTTCGGCCGTCTCGGGGTCTGTCCGTGAGTAGTCGGCGCGTTCGGCTTCCTCGTACAGTTTGGTCTCGAATTCCGTCATCACCGGCCCCGGCTCCACCAGGCTGATCCTACCCAGGGATGTGGCACTGGGCATTGGGCACTGGGCACCCCCAGACCCTGCCCCAGGGGCTGCAGGGCCCCCACACTCACGCCACGTTGAAGCGCAGCGCCTGCACCACCAGGCTCTCGCAGAAACCCTCCACGGCGAACTTGGAGGCCGAGTAGATGTCATTGAAGACAATACCTGCGTGGTTGGGGAGCTCCAGTCAGGGCTGGGTGGGGGCTGGTCCCCCCAGGGCACCCCATTTTCCCCTACCCTGCAGGCCCATGATGCTGCTGATGACGACGATGTGGCCCCCGCGGCGCCGCTTCATGTCGGGCAGCACCTCCTTGACCAGGCGGACGAGGCCGAAGAAGTTGGTGTCCATGAGGCTCTGCATGGCTGCCAGGCTCTGGCACTCCAGGGGTCCCGCCATGCCCACCCCGGCATTGCTGACTGTGGGGCAGGGGGCATCAGTGGGGCGTGCCCTGGGCAGGGGGATCCCACACCCTGGGCATGGGGGTCTCTGATTCATGGGATGTCCTGGATGAGGAGGGTCCCTGGTGCAGGGTGACCCTGGCATAGAGTCACTTGTGCATGAGGGACCCCTGGCACAGTGCTTGGAGGGTCCCCAGAATGGGATGTCCTGAGTTTGGAGGGTCCCTGGCGTAGGGAATATCCCAGCAAAGGGGGTCCCTGGTGTGGGGGGTCCCCAATACTTGGAGGGGCCCCAGAATGGGATGCCCTAAATTTGGAGGCACAGGGAATGTCCCAGCAAGGAGGGTCCCTGGTGCAGGGGGTCCTCAGAGCTCAGAGGGTCCCTGGCACAGGATGCCCTGAATTTGGAGGGTCCCTGGCACAGGAAAAGTCTCAGCACAGGGGGTCCCTGGTGCAGGCGGTTCCCAATACTTGGAGGGTCCCCAGAATGGGATGCCCTGAGTTTGGAGGGTCCCTGGCACAGGGAATGTCCCAGCACAGGGGGTCCCTGGCACAGTGGGTCCCCTGAGCTCTGAGGACCCCCAGAATAGGGTTTTCTGAGTTTGGAGGGTCCCTGGCACAGGAAAAGTCCCAGCACAGAGGGTCCCTGGCACAAGGGGTCCCTGGCACGGACAGTCCCTGGTGCACAGGGTCAGGGCCATGAGGTGTCCCTGGCACGGAGGGTCCCAGCACTGGCAGCACAAATGTCCCTGGCATGGACAAGCTTGGGGTGGGGGGATCACCGGGCTCACGCAGGGCCGGGAATCCCGGGTCTCACCCAGGATATCGATGTGGCGCCCGGGGATGCTGTCGAGG